TACAGTTCACCAGGTATTCTTGTGGATTTTTTTTTGTTTTGTATAAAGCTCCAAAATAATTTAGGGTCCTTGCAAATATTATTCTCAATATTCATTAAGTATTGTTTGTAATGATGTGATATTTTCATTTTACAACATGTGCGAAGTCTTGAATATTCCGAAAAGTAATGTTGATTCTGCGAACGTTTAAATTTTTTTAGAAAGTTAGATTTTAATTTTAGTGAGTATATAATTTCTGATGTAAACCATGGTGGATATTTGTGCTTAATTGAATTGAACCGAGGAACGTGCTTATCAAATAGTCTGTACAGGGTTTCATAAAACTTTTCACACATATCATCTACATGCAAAATGTTATCTAAAATTGACCAATCGATAGATAACAACTCATTATATAGAGCAGGATAATTTGCTTTCTTAAAGTTGTATGCTTTAACCGTGTCATTCTGCAAAAAATTTCTTGTTTTTGAATGCTCAACTTTTAGAAATACATCAATTGCTGGATGATATGGGTCAGCTGCTGTTAATGGGCAATCATTAGGAAAAATATTACATTTCGTATTGGTTAAAACAAGATCTAACAAGCGGTGCTGATGATTTAAAATATTATTTACTTGTTTTAAGTTCAAAAATGCCAACATTTCATTCAGCAATTGAGCCTTTACATCAGTTGAATCTTTAACTATGAATTTGTTGGCATTAAAATCGCCCAGAATTAATATATTTTTATTATTAACAACAATGCTCTCAAAATGATCCAAAAAAGCTACATATTCGGCTCCAGGTATATGAGGAGGTATGTAAAGTACATATATAAACAAACAATAGGTATTAAAGTAACATTTACATCCTAATACATCAATTAATGGGAAATCATTTCTAAGATTAACTAAATCAATAATCTCTACCTTATACTTTTGATCATATGCAATCAGAACACCGCCACCCCGTGTTCACTATAGCTGCTATAGTATAGCACAATAATTGTTAACTGTTGTTATAGCAATAGCACACAACGCGGTCTTTAAGCTTTCGTTAATTTTGGCATTCAACAATATACGCGCGAATATTTATCGTAAAACGTCGGTATTAGCGATCGTAGCCGATTGCAAGTAAGTCACTAATATTTAAGGGAATTTACCTAAATTAGTTCAATAATTTGCCACAATAATTTAAAAGAATTACTCAATTTAAAATCAAAATTGTCGTACCTAAAAGTAATTGAGATTTTGACTAAATATTTAGGTAATTGCCTATCTTTTTAAATTTGATAAGTTTATTAATTAAAGTATGAATATTTATCTAGAAGTTAGTGAATACACCATAGAACTAAGACATTCGTTTCTGCCTAATAAACGAGAAGGTAAATTGCTTTACTCGTATAAGCATATTACCTTATTTTTCCTTAACTAATTCTGATTAGGTATTTCAAAAGGCTTGATTTTGAACGTGTACCGTTGAAAGTGTACCGTCACATTTTAATGAACAAGTTTAGTTAGGATTATATGATTGATGGTATAGTTTTTTGCGTTATTCGTTATCTTTCTCGTTCCTGCTGCTACAACGAATTAAACATTTCTTATTAAGTTTCTTATTAGTTACTATTCAATTTTTATGTTATTAGTTATTATTTACGCGGTCTATAATTTAAACTTTATTGTTGTCAACATTCGATAAAGAAATAACTTGTTATGGCCTAGGCCGATAAAAAAATTTATGAGGCAAGTAATTAGTTCGATTTTTTCTCGCTAGGGGTATTGTTTTGACAAATTAATCCTTTTCTAAGAAATTAACGTACTAAACTGGTTTAATTTATTTATAAAAAGCACTAATTTGTTTGTTTTACTGTTAATGTTTACTATTTTTCATTAAATAATTGTAAAATTAAACATGAATAATAAAACAAAAAGTGAGGTTAGGACATTGCAATTTGACGTTTCTGTGGATTTCACAGTTGTGTTTTCTTTTTCTACGATTTAAATTATCTTTAAGTTTTAATTTGCTTTAAGTTTTCAGTGAAATTAAATGTTAAACACAGCGTAAACATTCCAAAGTACCTATTTTTTTTTTATAAAAATGCAAACAAATTGAAATTAGATACCTATTTATTAAACAATTAATTGAATTCAATGTAATAGCAAGAGGGTAAGTAAACCATTTTCTTACAAAAATCCATTTCTACTTAAATCATGTAGCTAGGTATTGTCAAACTATTACTGCTTCTAAAAGGAATAATAATTATTGTACATTTAATGTAATCTAGCTAATAAATAAATGAGATTGTAAAAAAGTGAGGTTAGGCCGCTTTTATGTTGAATTAAATTGACCTATATAAAGTGCTTTGAAGATAAAATGTTGTATGCCATTCGGCCAAGAAGTGTCTTTTTGTGCTTCGCTCAATTGTAGGCCTCCGCTACGCGTCGGCCTTCAAACTTTGAGCTTAGCACAAAAAGCCTTACTTCTTAACCTAATGACATAAATAACTATTTTCTACTCCTATTGCGGAATATAACCGTTCTAATATATGTATATTACTTTTTAATTTGGAATGACATATATTCCTTAAACTGTCACAGTTCATTTAAAATAACAGCCAAATTACACCATAGTCAGTAAATTACACCCAAATGGTGGCAAAAGTGTGTTTGTTTGTGGGTGAATTCCGTGAAAAAAAAACAAAGCTTGAGATAGACTATCGCTACCTAACAAAAAAACTCATACAGCTAAAAAATCTAGTGTTCCCGATTTTCTATCATTTCGTTGGAGTAATTATGGCTTTTAACATGATACCGTATCATGTTAAAAGCCATAATTACTCCAACGTCACATTTGAAAGGTCTAAAATTAGTTTTCTTACTACCTCGACTCAAAATACGTTGTTTCGTCCCCGATTTCACGGCAGAAAGTTTACGTTTCTTGCATTGGTCAAGCTATACGCGCACACTCTAATAGCGGGAGTAAAAATTTTTTAGTCGTGTGCTTAACATTTAAATTTCGTACTGCCAACATGAGAAACACAAAAATATGAGAGTTTTAAACCATAATTTTGCAATTATAACAACAAATAAACAATTTATGTTTTTACTTTTTTACTTTTTATGTTGTTTCAAGTGTTTAATGGTACTTTTATTTGTTATAAAGTAGTAATTTGTTAATTAAAATACAACCTTTTATTTTTACTGTATTGGCACCGCTGAATTACCATGACAACGCTACAGTTTGATTGATTTTGAATGTAAACGTCAGAATTAAATTAAACGTCAGATTTTAATTTTGACACAAGTTTTTTTATATACATTTAATTTTTTCCCGTATTTTCTGCGGGGTAGCAAGAAAAATAGTATACACTACACGGGCAGAAAGTGTGAGAGCCCTGAACTGCGCGCCATGATGCCCTCGGCTTCGCCTCGGGCATCATGGCGCGCAGTGCAGGAATCTCACACTTTCTGCCCTTGTAGTGTAATATACTATTTTTTAATTAGTTACTAAATAACCCTCAGAGTTGAGATTTAGTTTTCTTGTAGTACCTATTTGTCTCAAAACATTACAGTTTGATATTAGTATGTGCCTTAAGGCAATATAACAAATGTTATATTTCAATCTAAATCCAGTCAATAACAAAGTGACTCAAGCAAAATACATTATACAGTTTAAAGTTATTATACATATGGACATAATTAAGTTAACTAATACCGTTAATTAATTTTTTATAATTAAGTTAGGTAACTTATACCGTTCCATCGTTCCGTTGTACAACATCGTTATTAATAACGACATTGTTATTAATAACAACATCATTATTAATAACGATGTTATACAACGGAACGATGGAACGGTATAAGTTATGCCGTTCCATCGTTATAAATAACGATGTTGTTCAACGGAACGATGGAACGGTATAAGTTATAGGAACTCTTAACTGCTACATACAAAATAACTGGTAACGCGATATTTTAGTTCCAGTAACGTTCCGTTCCGTTCTTAATGAATAACGTTCCAAAATAACGTTATCGAAATAACGACCCACCTCTTCACTGAAGAATAGTTTTTACAAATACAACTTGCCGTATACAATCCCACCGAGGAGGAAAGTTTGTTTGGGCGATCCGAGCGCCCCCTTTGCTTTACGCGGTAACATGCGAAAAAGTTGTGCTTTGGGTTCACATGTGTGATGCAGCGGGAAAATATGAAAATTCGCATGTCAATAGACATCTTTATCGGAGACAGCAGTTAGTTGTACAGAGAAAAAGAAATAATAACATTAACTGTTACAAGGTAATAGTTACCCTTTAGTGGATTCGTATTCTGCCAAACCTATATGAACTAACAGTCATATAATACTACAAGGTATTATGGCAAGCCGTTTTGCCATTTAACAACACAATTTTTATTCAACATCATGGAAAATAATATAATGAAAATTGTTACAAAAAATAACTACATATTGGAAAGGTGTTGATGTTGAATTTTAATTCAATGAATTATTTTTAATACGTCTATAAATATTATAATTTTTATTTGAATCTTATGTTAACTTGCAATGTTTTTCCTATGGTAATATTAATTCAAGTAATTAAAACGATGTAGAATATAACTTTATTGCTGGAATTAAAATTATGTTTAATATAATTTTAATTTCTAGATTTAAAATTATACTGTAGCATAATTTTAATTCGTGATTTAAAATTATGTAGAGTATAATTTTATATGGGCGTAATAAAATTATGTGTACATAATTTTAATTCAATTAAAATTATGCACACATAATTTTAATTTCAGAATTAAAATTATACACACATCATTTTAATTCCTGAATTAAAATTATACACACATCATTTTAATTCACATAATTAAAATTATACTATAATCATTTTAATTGAATTAAAATTATACTATAATCATTTTAATTGAATTAAAATTATACTATTCATCATTTTAATTGAATTAAAATTTTACTGTACATAATTTTAATTGAATTAAAATTATCTACATAATGTTAATTTGGCAACGCCGCAATCGCGAAACGTATGCTAACGCTAGAATGTTCCTTTTTTTGGTAACTTTTCGTTTGGCTAGTTGGTAATGTGGCACTTAAATCACAGAATAGTTCTATGCTTAAATTAGGTACTTTTTCAACGGAAAAAAGATTTAAAGAGGTAAGTTGTTTAATTTTAATTAAGCTTTGCTTGTGCAATGCTCTAAACTTTAAACTGAAACTAACCTAAAAATTGTATCCGTAGATCGTTGGTAGCTGCTAAATATGGAGCAAGAAAGAGTAGCAAGGGTTTTAAAACGAATTCGAAGTTTAATTGCTAACGCTGTCCGATCATATGAAAGCTCCCAAAAGGTCAACCGACGAATACTAGAGGAAGCTAATGAGAACTTAAATAGAATAGCCCTCCAAATATCTCAAGAAACGTTTAATGGTCTTTCCGAGTCAATTAAAAACATTCTTTACATTAAGGATGCAACAGGGAGTCAGCATTATGTTGCACCTAGGCAAAACACAATAGGTTTGGATAACAACTTTTTGATTTAGTTAGATTACAGGATATTTCTGGGTTGAATACTTTATTAGGGAAATTAATTCCATAAAAATGTATTTTCCTATTTTTTTTTAAGTGTACTGAACTGCTGGTGGTATATTAATAAATTGCCATTAAACTGCCACAGTGATGAATAGGAAAGGAGATTTTGCTAAATTAATTACACTGCAATTAATAAGTAAGCATTTGTATTTTAAACAAAAAATATTAATAAGGTTTTAAATAGTTCAGGCAGGTTAGGTTGTATTTTAATGCTCAAGTGTTCCTATATTTGTCCTCGGTGGTGTAGTAGTCAGGACTGCGAACCACAAGCCAAGAGGTTGTGGGTTCAAATCCCACCAGGGGTATGGCTTTTTATTTATGTTTGTCAGTGTGTACTTCTGTTGGAAGCACATTAAAATAATCAAATAAAACTTAATAATAAGGTTACTTATGGTTAGGGATGGGATTTTAGTTATTTTACCTTTTTTCAGCCGATGTAACTATTTGAAAACCAATAATGCCAAAATGTTTTTTAAAAGATTTTCTTTTATATGAACCTAACTTGTTTTCACCTTTTTTATACTTTTATTACCTATTTTTTTTAACTTGTTTTCAACTTTTTTACCTTTTTTGGAGGTTTTTGCTTTAAACTACCTTTTTATACTTTTGTTACATATTTTTTAATTTGTCAGATTATTTTCACCTATTTGTTACCTATTTTTACGTATTTTTTATTTTTTTGCGCCAATATTTTATCCAGGGCGTGCAACTCAACGGTATAGAATTTTTTCTTATGGTCACAGACTGTAAAAGTAACTTTCTTTACAGTTACCTTCTTTGTAGTGAGCTTATCACAGTTGTCATAAAACTTCTGTGTAGTGAGTGTCACTCAGTGAAACACAGTATTGCATATAAATGCGGCTAAACAAAATTATAAACGAAACTTGAACTTTAGTGTTTTTTTACCTAAAATGCTGTTTTTTTAACCTAAAATGCTTTTTTTTAGTACCTTTTTAGTTACCTATTTTTCAGTTTTTAGTACCTAAATATCCCATCTTATGTTAAGTTATGGTAGTACTTAAAAAACCTTATTATTAAATTTGGTTTACTTAAATTTCCCATAATGCCAATATGAATTGGCAGTGTGGCTCAGATTGCAGAGCGCTTGCTTAGCAATAATAATAATAATCTTTATTCAAAAAAGGCTTTTGGGCAACAAGGGGTACCGCACGGTGCGGTAAAAATACGTTCCACCCAAAGTGCGTCCACACAGTTTTTTTTATTTCGTGTTTCTAGGATGTCAAACGATTATTTTAAGCCCAAAATGCAAATATGTCATATTTTTTAGGAAATTTGATTAAAAAAACCTATTTTGTTTTTTTTGTTTAGCATCTAAAAATGTTAGTAACTTTATTCTGGTAAATCAAATTAATTTAAAATAACGTTATTTATATATTTATAGTACTAAAATTATAATATTCCCTAAAAGCTAAGTTTAAATAACTCAAGGTAATAATTTTAATCTAGTATAAAAATATATTTATAATATAAATAAAATAAATTTATATTTTTTACTTGAATTGAATTTTGTAAAATACAAATCTGATAAATTAAATTTGCTATAAAACAAAATTTAAAAGGGAATATTATAATTTGGGCTGTTTATAAATAAATATTCTTAACCAATGAAAAAAATACTGAAATTTAAAGTTTTTAGATGCAAAACAAACAAAAAGATGTAAACAAAAATTCAAATCAAATTATTTTAAAGGGATGACCTAATTTAATTTTGGGATTAAAATGATCGGATCAATTTTTTTATCAATTGACAATGTGGCAAAAAAAATTGTTATGTGAATGTCACATTATCGACGCGGCGGTTCAATAGCAATTCATTAATATACCGCCGGCGGGTCAGTAGACGCTTTAATTTCAACTTTCGTTTACCTTTTTATTAGCCCAATTATTTAGGGCAGATTTTACCTGTTTCCTTGTGGTGTGATCATAACAAATTTTATTTAACCTAATTTATCACAAGTTAATAAATGCTAACGACAAAATCAAGAATGAATTAATAAGACCCCACTTAGGTGGCGGCCACCTTCTTGTACCCTCATGTGTTTGGCGACTCTGTTGGGGGTCATCCATTAATTACGTGAGGCAATTTTGGCGATTTTTCGACTCCCCCCTCCCCCTGGTCCCAAACAGCACACAACATCCTTAAGACGTCTTGTTTATGTCTTAATAAGGTCTGAACGTCTTAAGACCTAAAAACGACGTCTTAAAGACATATTTGAGAAGACGTCTTAAAACAAGCAATTTAGTAACGTCTTAAAGACGTCTTTTTAAAGTCTGTTTCGGGATATAAACTATCTAGGATCTACCTGCTGTACTGCAATTTGTACCCGCGGCGTTTACTTTATTAAAATAACCTGTATAAATTAATTAATTACTTTCTTTAACTTTTGAATACATTTAAAGACTTAGTAAGGACGTCTTAAAGGCGTATTTTTGAAGACGTCTTAAAGATATGCAATTTGTGATATCCTAAAGACGTCCATGAAAGCCTAGTATGGGACATTTTAACCTAACTGCCTTTTGAGAAACTCAAAAAAATGTACACCCATACAAAACTATCTGTTTATGTGAAGTGTAAGAATTTGCTCTATATATACTAAATACTTATGTTTAATAGTTTAGATAGGTACTTTTATATCAACAATCTCTCTATTTTAATATTATTTGATACCAATGGTAATTTTAAATTTAGCGCGCTTCTATTATTTCCCTCTTGTGGAATTTGCCTTAAATACAAAACTGGACAACGTTGTCAGATCGACTAATTTTTAGCAGATCTACAACAAATTAAATATAACAACAAAATGTATTCAATAAAATATTAAAACTTACAGCATTTGTAATCAGGGCCTGTATAGGCAATTTTTTGTAGGATTTAATATTAAATCCAAACACGATAGAAATAAAGAAACAAATAAAACATCTGACCAAACCACCATGCGCAATGTGCAAAGAGAACTCCGGCAACGCTGTTGTCAAAGCGGAATTGGCATATGATTAGCCATTTTGTTTGTTTTTTTTACAAACATTTTTGTTAGCTGATACTGCTTGACTTTGCATTTTATTTAAACTTTTTCGGTGTCTAGCTATTTACAAATAAAACTTACTGTGAACTGTGAGAGTGAGTGTGTAATTATAAAACTTAATTTTATGGCCGTTGTTTGGACCAAACAGTGTCGTGTCTTCAATCTTCAGCAGTGAGAATCCAGTGAAATAGGTAATAAGAAACATGAAGCGTATTCGTTTAAGTAAACATTATTTTTTATAAAATAGCTGTCTATTTAAAAGTTTTAAAACCTGTTAAAAAACAAACAAACCGCTGTTGTGTAAATTAATACGTTTTTTTTTTTAGGATCAGTGGAGAAATCGGGTCTTGCCAAATTTGATAAAGATACGGAAATTGCTATTCAAGCTTGGCTAAAAAGGGCATCAGATAGAAGAACCCAATTATTAAAGAAGTTTTAAGATTTTTTTTTCAAATATTTTCTATCTGTATGATTTTATGTGGCCAACCTTCCAAGTTGGAACACTTTGTTTATTTAAAAATAGAAAATAAAAGTTTCAGTGGATTTTGAACGATTTTTTTAATTTTAGCAATATATTTTAGTCCCTTAAAGACGTCTTTACGACCTCCATTAATGGCCGTAAAATGACTTAATAAAGATGTCTTAAAGACGTTGGGTTTTTTAACATTCGACGTCTTAAAGACGTCGTAAAGACGACGTGCGGCGTAAATAAGACGTCTTAAGGATGTCTTGAATAGCGAAGCAAGGCGTCTTTAAGATGTCTTAAAGATGTCTGTGTGCTGTTTGGGGTGAGATGTCGTGAGATTTTGATCGACCCCTCCCCCCTCCCTTAATCTCACGTGAGATTTTGCTCGACCCCTCCCCCCTCCCTTAATCTCACGTGAGATTAAGGTTTTAAAATGCATGGTTTTAATGTAAATAAGTTAATCTGTGATTGATTCCATTAGATTTATTTAAAAAAACCAATTGTTATAATTGTTTACTTAATTTAACCCAGTTTTCTCGCAATTTTACCCTGTTTTATTTGAAAAGAAAAAATTACGTGATATTTGCCGAGACCACCCTCCCCCCACGTGAGATTGGGTGAGGTTTGGCTCGACCCCCTCCCCCCCTAAACACCTCACGTAATTAATGGATGCCCCCTTGTCAGACGTTAAAATAATTTTAGAAACGTCTTCAAAATGGTGGACATTTCATTAAATCTTTAATCAATTAATTAAATTAATTAATTAGTATATTTAACATACATTTAGTAAATAATTATTTACATTTTTGCTTTCATTTGCTCATAAATTAAATTTAAAAAGTCAAAAAAAACTTTATTACTGAAATATTTCTTATTTTCCTTATAACAGGCAACGCGGAACAATCTCGAATTTACCACGTGCGTATTACTATTAAATACAAATACATGATACAAGATATCCATACGAGTTATCCATTGGATATCCAGTGGGTATACATTGGATGTCCAGTGGATATACATTAGATACACATTAGTGGATATACAGTGTGTCCGTAAAGTCTCGGAACATGAGATTATTTTAAAAACAGTAATTTTTTTTTAAAACGCTGAAACACGTCAACTTTGATATTTTTCTAGCAATATTTTGGCATATGTAGTTGTTCCAAATTCTGCCGCGTGGCGGCGCCACAATCAAAGTCATTTTTTTTTTAAATTGCAACCCTTTATTTTTGTTGCATTTTCGGATAGCTACCGTTGTCCTGATTACATTGATGTGCCACATCTGGAGGGTTACATAAGAAAATTTTTGAGAAAAGCAGGTTTTGCCGCCCAATGAGATTTTGGTATTTTGTAAAACTTAAACACAATCTATGCGTTGCTTAATGTTTTTTGGAAAGCCAATCAGAGCAGATGCTCAAAGTGTCCACCGTAAACTATTTGGCAGTGGGCAAGCCTGTCCACAAACGAGCGTTGTACGTTTGGAGTGATCATCTGGATCTCGGCTTGAATGCGGTGTCTTCGGTCGTCCAAATTTTAAGGCCTGTTTACATAGAAGCGGTTTTTAAGATGTCCCCATAAAAATAAGTCTAAAGGGTTCAAATCGGGCGATCGCGCTGACCACTCAATTGGACCCCTTCGACCTATTCAGCGATTGGGAAAGACCTGATTTAAATAATCCCTTACTAGCAATGCATAGTGTGGTGGTGCCACGTAACAGCGAATAAGTTCGTCAAAACCAAAATCTCAATCGGCGGCAAAAACCTACTTTTCTCAAAAATTTTCTTATTTAACCATCCACATGTAGCATATCAATGTACTCAGGACAACGGTAGCTATCCAAAAATGCAACAAAAATAAAGGGTTGTAATTTAAAAAAAACCTTACTTCGATTGGGGCGCCGCCACGCGGCAGATTTTGGAACAACTACATAGGCTAAAATAATGCTAGAAAAATAACAAAGTTGACGTGTTTCAGCGATTTTTAAAAAAAATTAGCGTTTTCAAAATAATCACATGTTCCGGGACTTTACGGACACACTGTATATTAAAATATTTTTTTCTTTTTTAAAATGGCTCCTTATAAAATAAATTAATTAATTAACATTAATTTATTTTATAAGGAGCCATTTTAAAAAAGAAAAAAATATTTTAATTGTTTTTAAATATTTTTGAATATCCAGTATGGATATCCATTAGATATCCAATTGTAAAAGGCATGGATATTGGTTTATCCATTGGATGTACATGACGTCATGTTCTGTGTGGGCTGTAAACAAAATGTTGCCGGATTTTTAAGAACATTTTACCTCACATTATGCAAGTCTTACGGGTTACGGTTTACGACCACCCCCAATCATTCTCTAACAAAAAATCGCCGGGGAAGTCTTGTTTGCTATAGCACCACCTACATGATCACCTGATATGATTGTTTTACTGATTATTTTTTTATCAAACCATATACCATTGTTTTTAGACCATTAAAAACAATTAGTAGAATAGTAGAATAGTACAGACAAACGGTATAACCATTAATGGTTATACCGTTTGTCTGTACTATTCTATTCTTTATAAATAAACAATTTTTTTGGTGGAAATCAATATTATAGTTTTTCTAGGAAAAGGCCGCCCGCGTTTACAAGTAACAGAGGAACAATTAAGGTTGTTTTGCAATGAAGGATATTCAGCAAGTGACATAGCCAAACTGTTGGGTTGTTCCAAATCATTTGTATATAAAAAATTATATCAATGTAATATGTTTATGAGAGGTAGATATTCCCAAATATCTGATGATCAACTGGAAACCCATATAAGTGAAATTCATCGTAGGCATCCGAATGCTGGCCACATAGTAAGGCCTTCTATACCACAGATTTTCCAAAATTACAATAAGCCTTAGATCAAGTTTGTGTAGTTTTAAAAAATATTTATTTTTCATAATACCGTTGAGTGAATCAATTATAATAATTTTTTGAATTTTTTTAACCTGTAGAAAATTTGCTTAATTACATGGCATACTTAAAGTAAATGTATTTTGTATTTCAATAATGTGTATTCCATAGTTGGTCCAGTCGTACTTAAAAGCAGACGGGATTGTTTTGCAAAGGCATCGCGTTAGAGGTGTGTTAAATCGGGTGGACCCTATTGGGACGGCATCTAGGTGGAGCCAATCAATTAAAAGAAGGGTTTACAAGGTTGCAAGTCCGAACGCGTTATGGCATATGGATGCTCATTTAAAGTTGTCACGGTATGTATGTTTAAGAGTAGTTATGAGATAAATAGGGATTTGTTTTTCAGATGGGGCTTTGTGATACATGGGTGTATTGATGGATATTCCAGATTGATAATATACTTGAAATGTGAAATTTCCATTCAAGCAGAGCCAGTTCTCAAGTTCTTCACCAACGCTGTGGAAAATTATGGTCTCCCTTCTCGAGTTAGGTCGGACCATGGTTACGAGAACATTCTGGTAGCAGTTCTAATGAATACGATTCGCGGTTTGCAGCGCGGAAGTCACATAACAGGAAGGTCTGTCCATAACCAGCGTGTGGAAAGGTTATGGGTAGATGTTTATAAGGAGGTTTGCGATTCAGTTTATACAGAACTCTATGACATGGAGAAGGAGGGTATTTTAAATATTGATAATTCAATCCATATATTCTGTGTTCAGTTTTTATATATAAATGAGATTAGTCAGAAACTAAGTTCGTTTGAAGCAGCATGGAATGTTCACAATATAAGGACAGAACATAGTAAGACACCTCGACAGTTGTGGTTAAGTGGATTATTATCAAATTATTCTTCAAGCTCCACTGCTGTAAATGAAATTTTTGAAAATAATATTTCGCTCCGTCAAAGGCTAGTAGAATCTTTAAGTGCTATGGGGGTTGATTTGACTGGCAATGTTATGAATATGAATAGCGAAGATAATGAAGTTCGACAGTCGTTATTTAAAGTTGATTTAGAGTTGACCGAAGAGCAAAAAGTCTTTTTAAACAATATAAAGAATTCTCAGGAAATAACAATTAAGGACAAATATTTACAATGCGTACATTTTTTAAATTCTTAACTAAAACTTTTATTTCCTGAATACACGTTTCTTATAAGATTAAAAAAATATATTACCTAATAAAGTTATAAAAAAAAGGAAAGCTGGTTTATGTATTAAAAAACTGACTATTTATATAATCATTGTATCTAAATTTTATAAATAAACCGGTGAATAAAACATTCTCACGAATTTTATGCTTTTTTAATTATCCCTTAACATAAAAAAATATACAAAAGTAACCATTCCAAATCATAAAAAAAATTCCTGCAAAACTTTAGATCAATTGGTCAAAGGGAACACGTGCCCCACAGGGGTTTTTTGAGAAATAATTGAGAAAAGGCTGATATAACGGTCTATCGTAGGAAAAAAAAGTGTTTATAAATTTTGTGGGTTAATTTATAAAAAAACAACTTTCTTAATTACAGTTCTGCCTAAATAACTTCGAAACGGTCTATCGCATGAAAAAAAAGTGTATATAATTTTTGTGTGTTTATTTATGATAAACAACTTTTTTACCTACAGTTCTGCGTTAAAAAAAAATTTGGGCTCAAAAAGCGATAAAATGCTTTTTTGGGCACTTTAGCGCCACCTACTTTTTGAATTTTCTGTCCCAGAGCATCGACCCATAAATAGGGGACAATGCGACCTAAATTTTTATGTTGACAAATTTTTTTTACCGATTTTGAAAAAAATTAAATTTAAAACATTTTGAGTTCTTCCAAAAACACTTCACTATCATTAAGAAAGTTGAAAAAAATACAGAATTCATTTTAACTTTTTTTCCCACAATAAACCGTTTCGGAGTTATAGCACGACGTGTTTTTGGTGAAAAAGCAAAAAGTTGTTGATTTAATTTTTTTCAAATCGGTAGGTTTAAGAAAACAAATTTGTCAACAAAAAATTTAGGGCGCATTGTCCCCTATTTATGGGTCGATGCTCTGGGACAGAAGATTCAAAAAGTAGGTGGCGCTAAAGTGACCAAAAAAGCATTTTATCGCTTTTTGAGCCCAAAAAATTTTTTTTACGCAGAACTGTAGGTAAATAAATAAACACACAAAAATTATATACACTTTTTTTCATGCGATAGACCGTTTCGAAGTTATTTATATCAGCCTTTTGAATTTTCTCGTTGCATGCGCGCTTTATGAAATAACAAAATAGGCATTTTGACAACAAATAAGCAAATATATTTGATTTAGTGACGTTTTAATAACCCTCACGAGATATATTGACAGCTCCTCAGTACTGAGTACGTATAACGTATGTTTTATTAATTTTGCACAAAATTAAAATTAACTAAAAATTGTTAATCTAATTAAATTAAAATTAATTAAAATACTTAGTAGGTAATTAACTGTTTTATAAGCTATGAAATTCATGGCTTAAATTAAATAAATTAGACCATATGGTCTTCAACAAGTCGCGGTTTTCAGCAGAAATCTCGCATCATATGTTCTGGACGGTATTTTAATCGATTTCTCGAATTTTTCGAATAATTGTGCGGTGAAAATTCTGGGTTTTTCACTTTTTGGTAAATTGATTTTGACAAAATAAAATTTCATTGATAAGATAGCAGTTTATTAAAAAAAAACATTTCATAAAAATAACTAAAAATAAGTAATGTATCAGGTAAACGTAAACAAAATCAGTGACCTTTACACGCTCCAACCTGTGCGAAATGGAGCTCCCCTAAAACCATGCAATAAGGCGTTGCAATTTTAAGAAATGTATTTTTAAGACGCGACACTAGCCGCGCGAAAATATGCATGATGCATGAACGAGGAGCTCCAATTCGCACAGTGAAAAAGTGACTACAACCAAAGAAATACTGGATTTATAATAATAATAAGTTGGATCAGTACGATGTATATTCTAAAGCTTCTTCATTATATAAACATGCATTTAAGTCGTTCTTGAGTTCATCGTAGCTGCAATAGGTTTTTGGTAACGTTATGAGGTCTGAACACGTATTAAAGGTTGGCCTTTGACTAAGACCAACATCATTACTAAATTTTACGTTAATAGCGTCGGTCATAACATATGATCCAGTAATTAAAAATAGTAATGTCGATATTTTTTCGCGATCGAGACAGTGAATGTACATTGTAAAAAAATGGAGAGTTTCGTTTTCCTCATTAGTCAAATTTGGATCTGTTATTAAAGCGTTAGCAATTTTAGTAGCTGTGGGTGTTCCCATATCACTTAACACATTAAAATCACATTTATTCCAGAAATTAGGATAATTTTCGGGTAGAACTCCTTCGCGAATTTTTGCAATTAATTTTTTTGGTCTATCAACTAAAATATCTTGGGCAATAATCGAAAGCTGTTGGGAAATTCTGTCAGCAGATGGCTGAGCATAAAATTTGTTTGACTGATAGAAATCCTGAATGACTTCAATCTCCTTTTGGTCCACTGCTGTAAAATTATTGGTAGCCTTTTTTAAAATTTTTCTTAAATATGGATTGACAAAGAGAAACAATTCATTTAATAATAAAACATCATCAATTATCTTTTCGGGAAAAGCTACAAGCATTAAACATAATTTGGAAAGTTTTAAAGGAAGTGAATGAGTTATTGCTAACATATGGTTTAAAATTCTACCAATTATTATAAACTTATCCAATTCCCCCATATTGTTTAATTCCAAAAATGGAATCAAACTATCTTCACCACGAAAAAATTGTCCATTACATTTGTTGAAAAAAATATTAAACATTTCTTTGGTGAGACCACCTCCATCAACTCCCATTTCCCCTTCAAACCTAACATTCAATTTTTTATTTATAATATCTTTATCAGTATATAATTTTAGTAGATCATGAACACAATTCCCTCTGCTAATTCTAATATCACAAACTTCTGCGTCATCAGGCACATCCGGAAACTCAACAAAAAACTCATTTTCTTCAGTTGGATCTGCAATTAATTTTTAAACATTCCTGTGAACCACATTTAAATTTTATAAAATAAACTTACATTCTTTGCTTTCTTCTAAGTCAAAGTCAAATTCATCCACATCCTCCGTACTTACTCTACGAATTAAAGACAACATACTATGCATTGGTCTTGACCTTAAATCCAAATTTGAAGCGCTCCCAGTTAAGACCCTTGAGTTGGAAGCCGTTGACGAAGAAGCTGCCGGTTCATTTATTTGAAGTTGGTGTCCACTATTTATTGCACTTTGTGCAGCGCCTCGATAGCCTGACAAGGGGCTGGAAACTGCTAATTGTTCTATCACTGGTAGGTCACTAGGAAAGTCGTTGTTTGGAAGTACAATGATTTTGCTTTGCATTAATTTTTCCTCCAACTCTTGTCCATTTGCTACATCAACTATACATGAAATGCGTTTTGATTTATCCATCCGACCTATCCTAAAGCCACACATCATCAGCAGGTTCTGAACATTGGGTGGATAAAGAACAACAATGTCGTCCATAATTTCTTCGATGGAAGCTGTTCTATATATTTCAATATCTTTATCAGCCATACCTGAAATAGGTATAGATATGTCAGTTTTTACAAAGATATACCAAACTTGTATAATTACGCAAAATTATAATGATAATATTAAAATAAAAGTTAAAATAATTATGGCCAAGGTGCTCAAACCGTTACAAGTTTTTGATTTTTTTTTATATAAATATTTGTTTAACAACTTTACCACCCTGTATCTCGAAAACAAAGGTTTAATTAATTAATTTTGTTTTAAAACAAACAAGTTCATATAAACTTTTTTTGATTTCGAGTCCTACCTACTATATTTTCCCGATTAAAATCAAAGACATCCTGTATATTTAAACAAAGACGGATGCACTTATAATTTTTTATAAAATAAACATTAAACTCATACATATAAATTGTTGAGTGCACTCCTTTTATTGTGATTAAAATTAAAATTTTTTTAAAGTGGGTTACGATTTTAAAAAATACAAAAAAGAAGCTACAAAATTTGTAGAAGAAATTGAGTCACTGTTTAAGTTCGTTATTGTTTGTAAGCATTTTGTGTTTTTAAATATTCATTTATTTTTGGTCAAATTAATCACAATAAAAGGGGTTCACGGAACAATTTAAATCCACATATCTCGAAAACAGTTGAAGCGACATTTACAAAGTGTAGGTACCTTTTTCGCAATAAAGAAAAAAAGGAATATTTTTATTTAAGAGGCGAAAAAAAGATTTGATCATTTAAACGTGTTGCAGACAGCGCCCTCTACAATCTACATTAATAACACTGGCCGACAGCCATTTTGGTGCAGGGTAAACAACAACTTTTTTAGGGTAATTTGGGTACGCCGAATCCAAAAATGACCATCAATTTTCTCAATCAGCTCTTGTTTTTGCGATGTAGACAAAAAACCGTTTTTTTATATGCGCACATGCAAATGCTTAAGCATTTGAATGTGCGCATTTAATTAAATAAATATTTTTTTAAACTTTTAGTTTAAGCAAGGATAGTTGATAATGTTGCTATGGGTCTTTATTAAACTGTAAAAAAAATACCATAGTGTGATACAGATATGATATTTTTAAAGAGAATACCAGTATCAATGTATATGGTATTTTTTTACAGTTTAATAAAGACCCAAATTTGAATTTTAAAAATATCCGAATTTTGGCTAAAAAATCGATTTTCTTTCGATGAAAGCAAGATTTTTAAAGAGAATACCATTATCAATGTATATGGTATTTTTTTTAGTTTAATAAAGACCCATAGCAACATTACCAACTATCCTTGCTTAAATTAGAAGTTTAAAAAATATATATAAGTATAAGAATATATATAAGTATAAGAATTTGAATGTGCGCATATTTTATTCTACATCGCAAAAAGCTGATTGAGCAAAATGATGTTCATTTTTGGATTCAGCGTACCTAAATTACCCTTAAAAAGTTGTTGGTTGCCATGCACCAAACAGAAATTTTATTTTTGTCGGCCTGTGTAATTTTAGAAAATTTAAATTTTCTTGAAAAACCCTGAAATACCAAATTTTGGGCAAAAACTTTTGTTGGTATAAACAAGTCTTTGTTTTCGGAATTGTGAATTTAACAAAAAATTGATAGTACATCCTTAAA